CTTCTGCTCTGATATGGGTGGCTGCTGGCACTTTGCTCTGACTGAGTAAAACTCTACAGATCAAGGTCGTATGCAGATGTCTCCCTTCAGACCTGGAGTCTTGTTAGGTCAGGGACTGTTACATGCCTGTCTTTTTTTTTTTCCTGTCAGTTGTGGGGCTTGAACTCTGGGCCTGGGCGCTGTCCCTCAGCTCTTCAGCTCAAGGCTAGCGCTCTGCCACTTGAGCCATAGCGCCACTTCCGGCCTTTTCTGTTTATGTGGTGCTGAGGAATTGAACCCAGGTCCTCATGCATGCAAGGCAAGCGCTCTACCGCTGAGCCACCTCCCAGCTCCTGTTACATGCCTATCTTGTGTCCTCTTCTGCACTTTGCAAGCAGTCAATACATATTGATAGGCTCCCAGATGAGAGAGAGGCACAATGTGTGGAACAAAAGTTCATCTGTCTCTCCTTACAAAAGGATCACTGCATTGGTCCTGCTGAGATCACAAACACGCCCAGGACACTCAGGTCCTTAGCACCTCTTGTGATGTTCCAGAGGAGTCACCTGAGACCTGGATGCCACCGATTGATGCTGCAGGTCCTCAACACCCAAGAGCTGGGAGCTGAAGACTCAGAGGCAGTGAGGGCCGTCTAAAGCCATCATGGCAGAAGGAATCGCTTTAACTATGGTAGGGGAGCAGTGACAAGGTGATCTGGGCTGACTGTGCTCTACAGTTCAAAAGAGGAGGTGGGCAGTGGTCAGCGAAGGATTTCCAGAGAATGGGGGAGAAGAGCAGTTTGCCCTCAAACCCGACGGGAAGCCAGACAGCACGCTAGAGGGACTGAGCAAAAGTGGGGAAAGGTGCTGCGCAGGCGTGTCCCCCAGGCAGTGGGCAGACTGGTTTGACAAGAAAGGAAATCTTCCTTGCCGATTGAAGGTGATCATCAGACACCAGTAGCAACAGGGACAATAAAGCAATGGCAGCGAAGGTTTATTAAACACGTAATCCTTGTCAAACACCGAGCTAAGTTTATTCTACAGGATCGTAATCCCCATTAATTCTCACAAAGCCTTGTAACACAGTCGTGGCTCTGTGATATCCCCCGTGGTGGTTTTGGAGAATGGGAAAATTGAACATGGCCTAGGAGCGACTAGGTAACTATGAACAGTGGCCAACTGCCCAATGGTACCAGGTGGTGTTAATAGCCCGTGGACCAGGCTGCCTGTTAGTGCCTCTCACATTCATTAATTTCCCCCTCCTCATAGGTGCCTCTTAGAGCATAGTACCTTCCATTTCCTGTTCCCCACAATTCCATAGAGCAAGCTGGATTTAAATTATGGAGGACTTTGATTCTAAGTATGGAAGGTAGACTGTTTGGTAAGTTCGTGGTTTCTTCTTTTCCTTCTTCCTCCTCTTCTCTTCCCTCTTCTTTTCTTCTTCCTCCCCTATTTCTTTCCTCTTTAGTTCTAGTACCAGGGCTTGAACTCAAGCCTCATGCTCTTACTAAGCTTTCTTGCTCATGGCTGGCACTCTGCCACTTGAGCCACAGCTCTACTTTTGGCTTTTTGCTGTTCCTTGGAGATAGTCTCAAGGACTTTTCTGTGATGACTGCCTTTGAACTGAGATCCTCAGATCTCAGCCTCCTGAGTCACTAGGATAGTAGGAATGAGCCACCAGTGCCCAGCAAACATTCATCATTCAACGATTCTCCCTCTGCTTACTGTATTCTGACCTAGAGCGTATTCACGGCTCTGTTCTCGCTCTCCCTGTCTGGCGCCTGCGCTCTCCAGTCTCTCCGGCATCTTTGTCATAGTCCCGGGCCTCTCTGTATACTCACACTTAATGTCTGTGGTCCCTGTGTACATGAGGTCCTCAAAGGCCAGAGAATTTTGCTTGTCTGAGCCTTCACATTCCTAAGCTTTGAACTTGGGGTTCGGCAGCATTTCCTAAGGACCTTTTCCTTCCATTGACTCGCTGTCAAATGCTCGACCTTGTTGGCCAACCTGGCTGCTGTCACTTCCTGAGTTTATAAACCACAGCACAACCTCTGTGATGCTCATGTTTACCCTGGGCTGAGGTCTACTGCTGATCTGCACTTTCTGTGCTGCAGCACACAACAGGGAGGAAACTCTAGTAGAAGTCAACACCTGATAAATTATAATGACTATTTTGTTAAGATTACAAATTGTTTAAGAATAACTCTACTCTTTGTCCTCGGCTCCCAATTATACAGTTCATTATGAATACAGATGACAAATGTTACGAATCCAAAGGCCATCAAAGGAACCCTTCATGGAAGGAAATTATTCAAACAAACCATTTGCTACTCAACATCTTTCCAAAGTCAACAACTAGGATGCCCTTGAGAAAAATTTAGAAATGATTTTCAGTATATAACATTTCTTTGAAAATTGCTTACTCTTTTAATTTTGTCTAGGGAGTAGAATCAGAAGAACATAGCTGTGTAAGATGAATACCTAAATAAACAGTCCACAAAGAAGGTGGATGTGCATACCTCTCCCTTACATCTCTTTGAATACGCATTTGAAAATACAGATCATTGTAAAATGTATATTCATCATATGTAGATATACCACACATAGGTAAATCTTTATTTAACTCCAACAAGCACTTATTGAGTTCCTACCACAAGTACAGTTAGAATCAAATTTGTGGTCAGCAGAGAGATTGCCTGAATAATTAGATATGCAAAGTGTGTGTGTGTGTGTGTGTGTGTGTGTGTGTGTGTATGTTTCTGTGGTCATAAACTGGTACTGGGGATTGCATTTTTTGCTAATTGCTGGTGCTCTACCACTTTTAGTCAGGCATCCACTTCTGGCTTTTTGCCAGTTAATTGAAGATAAAGAATTCTATAGATTTTCTGCTCAGACTGGGTCTGCACCCCACTCCTCAGAACTTATTTTCTGAGGAACTAAGATTATAGGCATGAGCCATGAGTAACTGGCTTTGCAAATTCTTTAAGGCATCCCAATGATATTGAAACTGCACTATTCTCGGAATTCCTAAATAGTTGTGATATTTTCTGGCCCCAGTTTGTGGAATGTTAGTTATTTGGTAGTTTCTGTGTCAGTGTTGGATGAATGGATTAATAAATGGAGAAGCTAAATAAATGGGGGCCCAAAAGAAACAGAATGAGAAGAGATGGGGGAGAAAACTAAAATGCATGGTCATCCCTCTAGATGACGGGAGCTGGCTGAGTCTCTCTCAGTTAGAAAGAAAAGTTGTTTTAGAAAGAAACGTCCTTGAGACAACTTCTTAGAGCTCAGTGTTGCATCGAGAACAGGGGAGGATCCCCTGCATCAAGGGGACATAGATAACAAGGTAGAATTGGATGTGGGGGGGCCAGATTGTGCAGCAAACTAAGACCCTGGGATTGATCATGGAGACTCAGAGGAGGCTACACAGCAGCGTGCGTTCATGACGACAACAGAGGAACAGCGGCCCTGTCCCAACAATGCCACAATACTGCATGCTCCCTTCAGAGCCAGGCTCAAGTTTGGGAATGTGTGAGAAGTAGGGTAGGGTTGAATTGGCTAAGGAACTCTTACCTGGTATGACTTACCTGGTATGACACTTTCTGTTTTGGGAGCTCAAGTGGAAAATGAAGTTTGGTTATTGAGCAGCAAAAGAAAGACACTTTTCTTGAGTACAGTTCTGAGACTGAGACCCTGATTTACCATGCAGGCTGTTGAAGTTCGGTGTGCTCTGGGCTCCGGTGAAAGGCAGGGACCGGGATGCTCATCATGGTCAGCTGACCTGGGCTGGGCAGATGAGGGAGTCAGCGAAGGAAGGACTAAGCTAGCTTAGTCCATAGAAATGATCAAAGATAAATCATGACACATAGTTTGGGGGAAAGTGTGGTAGCCCCAAAGTAGTGAGAGGTAAAGCTGCACACATTAGGGTTAGGCAAGGATCGGGGTTTGAAGGTCTTATATGTTATATGGCTTGAGAAGAGGAACGTTCCGTCTTGGATGTTTTGTGACTGAGGGATGCGTACACCCCACAGGAGCAGGGTAGGGGCAGCAAGTGAGGGGATTATGGACCATGAATCATCAGCTTCTGCGAGAAGCTTGGTATGTTCTGCAGTTATCAACCAACACATAATATTCTGCTTTTCTGAATGCTTACTCTTCCAGCCTCATGCTGATTCTCTGTGTGTGTGTGAGAGTTCAGTCTCTTAACTACTACAGCAATGCAGAGGAAGTTGTAATTATTTCCTCTGTTTTTCCGATGAAGAAGCCACAGTGTAGAGAGGCTAAGCGACTTCCTTGCCGTCCCAGAGACTAGCACATTGGCTAGCAAGAGTCAAAATCCAATTATGTCTACTGTCAAAATCCTTCTCCTAAATATAACTCAACCTTGGTATCCAGAAAGAGCAAGCAGCTCCAGGGGAGGCTGCTAGGCCTTAGTTTCCTTGGCTGCACGAGTATCTGTGACCATGTGTTCCCGTATATTAATGAATTCTTCATTTAGAGGAATGATCTGACCCAATCAAAGCAAACTAAAATGGACTCAAATGGCCACAGCTAGAGGGATGGACTACAGGGATGAGCAGCACTATCCCGTCCCAAACAGCAAGCTGGCCCCTCCATCTCGGTGACTTGGGGATCAGAACTTGGCCAAGTGACTTCTAGGTCTGGGTCTCTCATTGGTGAAACACAGTTATTAGTAATGCTTGAGAAGCATACAAAATGATGTATAAGTTGTGCAGAATAGCACCCTATACTCAGTTACTCCTGCAGTTCAAGTTAGGTTCTGTAGTCATTCCGTTCACTATGATGTGTGTGGTTCATTTATTATGTTCCTTGTGTTGATCCTCAGACCACAGGCATGGTGTGAGGCTGCGGAGTCCTCTTGTCATTTCTCCTGACCCGAGCCTGTCCTCCCAGCCGTCCTGAGTCAGAAGGAGGCAGGCCACGTGGAGAAGAGGCTCTGGGGACCTAGGAATCCCTAGGGTTCCCCACAGCAAGGAGGGGAAATTCTTGTGAGTAACTGACCAGGTGGCTGCAACGGAGCAGACCACTTCAACACAAATGGCATTGCGGGCCTCCGGGGTCCCCAGTAGGGGCTGATGCTCCTTTTCCAGCATCAGATCTAGCCCGAAGCCCTTCCTAGGAGCCAGATAGAGGCTGGTCAGCCCCAAGGCCGGGCCTGTCCTCCATCTGCAGCATGCAGAAGTTCTTGTGAGATACAGCCTCAGGTTTCTGAGGGACTTGAGTGGAATGGCAGATGCTAAGGGAGGACCTGAGACCAAACTTCAAAGGATGCTTCTAAAAATCGTGGGTTTGGAAGTCAGAATGCCAAGAGCCAACAGCTTGGACTTGGGTGCCCGAGAGACTTGGATTTGGCTTCTGGCTTTCCTGTTTATTAGCCATGTGATTGGCGTGACTTACTTTTCCCCTCTGTTTCCCTGGCTGTAAACCAGAGAACTTTTATGAGAATAGTGCTTGGCACAAAAGAAGTGCTAATTAAATGGTACTTAAAATGATAAAGTTCTTTAACAAACACTTACACGATGCTTGCTATACCAGGCAGTATGCTCAGCAATTTGCACAACTTATTCCATTTAATCTTACGGAGGAGGAAATTGAGGCACAGAGAGGTGAAATAACTTGCTCAGGATCTCCCACAGCTGGCCAGCGGACTCCAGCAAAAGCATTCTGGCCCCTTATTAGCTTTACAATCCATAAAAAACAGAGCAGCAAGGGGATAAATATAAGCAATAACAAGAAATCCTCCCTCAGCCAATATGTTACAACATTGACTATCTCAAGATATTCTATTCCTTTAGAGACAAAATTAATAAGCATCTCCCGTGACCAAATAGATGAAGCCCTTCAGACCTAACTACCCCTGTCCTTGATTTTTTTTTTGAGTGATTCAGAAAACAGCACACCATGGGCTTAGTTTATGCCTCCCTTGATCATTAGCCTCATTTTCTTGTAGTGGGTGGTTAGAGCTTTCTGGGTCTCCTCGTCTGTCATTGGGGTTCCTCTGAGCCTGTGGCAGTGACAAGCTCCAACTCCATAACACAGAGCCCGCTTGGGCCCTAGCAACCAAGCATCTGCTGCGTTGCTGAGCTCAGCGCCCACCTCTGCAGCCAAGGCCTCCCTGCACACACATCATCCGCACCGTGGCTTTAGAAGCAGCTGGTGTGATCTGCTCGAGGAAGGGAAATGAGGTGGAGAGTTTCTTGCAAGAAAAGCGGTCACTGTGAAAACAGAACTACACTCAGCAGGGGCTCCTCTCCACGCAGAGAAGAACTGGGCTCTGAAGTTGCTAGGTCTCTGGGTTTCCCCTGTCACCGGCCAGTCCTAGGGGGTGTGGCCTAGGCAGCACTTGGGCGGGGACCAGAGAAGAAGAAGGTCCCTCCCAAGTAGCACTAACTCAGGGAGAGAGGGCGAGGCTGGCCTCCAGAGAACAAGGCAATGAAGTAAGAATTGAAGGGGAGGTGAATAAGAAATAGGAATTAAAGTGGAGCTTCTGGTCTCCAACATGACTCCATTATTAATGTCCACAGTGCTCCAGTTCTAACTGGCCCAGGTTGGAAGCGTCTCTCCTTCTAAGATAGATTCCTGTTAGGTTGACATTTTCTCTGCAGAAAGCCTGGTAATGGCATCTGCTTGCTCTCAGGAAAAAGTCCAAGAAGCTAAAAATCCACTGGACTGCCCAATACTTTATTTCCTGCAGCTTCTTCCCTCCCTCTCTGTGTTCTTACCCTCGCTGGCTTGTCTTTGTAAATTTCATTTGTCATTTTTCAAACTCACTCTAGTCTCACTTCTGGACTTGGCATGTTGCTGGGCTTCTCGTGTTTGGCGTGTCTTTCTCCCGAGCAGCAATGAGACCTACTGCATTCCTCAGTGCCAGGGAGGCATTTCCTTCCAGGCAGCTTTGCCTCTGTTCACAGCACATCTGCTGCAGCGTCGTCCCTAGAGTCCTGGCTTCACCCTGTCACCCGTTTCCCCGAGCTCGCCTCTGTCCAGAGACCCCTCAGGACATGGGCTGTGTGTGGCACATTCTCCTGTGAGCCAGAGCCGCCAAGCGGATGGGCTAGTGAGCCCCGTTGAAGTGGCAGGGCAGCGTGGGAACATGCCACCTCTCTGAGGGCTGTAGAATCATCTGGACACGAGTCTGCCAAAGATGGTTATGATTTAGAGAGAAGCCTTGGCTCTACTTACTGTATGAAGGGACTGTTCTTATGCCTGTCCCTCTCCATGTACAAGCCTGAAGCAGCTGGGCAGCTTATCAACTGTCCAGCCGAGTCCTAAAGGAAAGAAAGAAGTCACACAGAAAGTTTTTTGTGCAGAAAAGAACATACAGAAAGAGCCAGAACTCCTGGATCATAGGCCTCGTCTGTACCGTCTTTTGACTTTGAGGTGTGCCGTCTCTGTGTTGGCAGTGTTTGTGTGTGTGCTCATCTTCTCACATGCTGCATCTCATTGATTATGAAAGAAAGAAAATAACTTGACAAGGACGTTCTTCCCACTTGACAAGCAGTGAGCTGGCAGGTGCCAGGTTTGAGCCCATTGCTGCACCAACGGCATGAAAAAATGAGGGCTCAAATCCCAAGTCAGTGTTTGCCCTTACCACATAGCAATTCTCACGGCTTCTTTATCGTCAAATGAAGTCTCTTCTGGCTCTGTCGTCCTCAGGTGCATGAGACGCAGCGAATCATACCACAGATGGAAGCCCTGTCAGAAAAGAACATACTGTACACATACATTTTTAATGGGAAAAGTCTTGGGATGATATCCTTAATTCTTCTAAGCACAGCCAACACTTAATTTCTGAGCCTGTCCTTCTGAGCCTGTCAGCGGTGTAGATCTGCAGTGTCTTAAGGAAGGCTCTGGAGTGGGCCCTTTGCAATTACGAAGGTGGTGCGTGGGGAAATAGGATGAAGCTCTTAGAGGTGAGGGGAGATGCCCTACCTCCCCGCTGCTTTTTTTGGAAGAAGAAACTGCTACTTAACAATGCCTTCAGAGTTCTCTGGGGATTCCCAAGGCTGTGTCAGTGCCAAACTTAGGTTTGATTTGCATTCAGGACACCTAAAATGATTCCTCCAGCTCTCCAAGCCCTTATAGCGCAGTGCTAAAGCCCTCATTGTGGAGTCTTACAGAAGGGTCCAGATTCTAGGTTCCTTGTGTTGGTTCTAGAAGAGCAGACTTTTCAGTATCTGAAGAAAACCAGGGATTCCTTTCAGAGTAATATTTTTTTTGTAATGAGATTAAAACAAAATACATAAGGCTTAATAGGAAATCAGTTGTATTGGATATGGGAATATATATAATAAATTTGTGATATACTAATAACTACACATTTTTATTAGTGCTTGTATGTTGGTAAAAATTCAATAGTACTGTAAATTCATCTGTGGATAGTTGCTCCTTTCTTTTTTCTTTTTCTTTTTTTGTCAGTCCTGGGCACCACTTCCAGTTTTTTCTGTGCATGTGGTCCTGAGGAATCGAACCCAGGGCTTCATGCATGCTAGGCAAGCACTCTACCACTCAGCCACACCCTGGCCCTTTTTTTTTTTCTCTTACTGGCTCTGCTGCCTTGTGTCTCTGCTACTTGAACCATGCCCCAAGCCCCTAGTGCTCTGGCTATTTTTAAGACAGTCTTGCTTTTTGCCTAGCTGGCCTAGACCGTCTTCCAGCCCTGTCACAGCTGGGATGACAGGCATGTGCCACCATGTCCAGCCTTTTCTGCTCAGATTAGGGTTTTATAAACTCGATCTCCCAGAATGGCCGATAATTGTGATCTTCCTTAGCTCCGCTTCCCGCAGAGCTAGAACTACAGGTGTAAGCCTCCGGCAGTCTCACCTGTGGATCCATGCCAATTATCTGCCCAAACTCTAGCAGGGCCGTGTACAACAATGACTGTATTTTCAGGTCTCCTTAGAAATAAATCACTGTGGGTGATTTCTTTCTAATTTCACTGTAAGTAGAGATGAAACTCAAGGCAAGTTACCTTCCTCCAAGTCAGAAAATAGAAGAGTTTATCGACTATGAAGAACTTGGTGAATTAGTGAAATTGAATTGTTTGGATAATACTACAGGTCTCTAAATTTTTGTTTCTGGGGATAAAATATAGGTCAGTGAGACAGATAGTAAATGCGCGGGCCTGTAATGCCCACAGAGAACCAGGGATGAAGAAAAGAAGGGAACACTTTGAGAGGAAAAGAAGTGGTGAGTGGATATAGCAGAGATTGAGATGCGTGGGTAAAGCATTGGCTTTCTGTTTGGAATGACTGTCTAGAAATGTTGACAGATAACAGAGTCAGAGGTTGGAGGCAAAGGCTGCACACAGGGCCCATCTGCTCAGAAGAGAAGCAGCCATCAGTCATGGACTTAGAACAGTTTGGCCTGACTGCCGCACCTCCCCTGGCTGAGAGGGGAGCCCCGGGCCACCCAGCACTGTTATACAGCACAGCAGCTTCGCTGCGGCTTTCCCGTGCTGACCGCCTAGAGAGATGGACTGGGCTTCTCCAAGTGGCAGCACAATAGCCAACATTTATTGGGTGCTTCCAGTTATGCCAAGAACTGTTCTAACCTCTGGCCTCATTGAATTCTCCCAATAACTCTTATAATGAAGGTTCTATTGATTAAATTTTTTGTTGTTGTTGTTGGTTGTGGGGCCTGAACTCTAGGCCTGGGCACTGTCCCTCAAGGCAAGCACTCTACCACTTGAACCACAGCGCCAGTTCCAGCTTTTTCTGAGTCGTTCATTGGAGATCAGAGTCTCACGGACTTTCCCTGCCTGGGCTGGCTTTGAACCGCGATCCTCAGGTCTCAGCCTCCTGAGTAGCTAGGATGACAGGCGTGAGCCACCAGCTCCTGGCTGTCTATTGATTTTATAAGCAGAGAAATGGAAGCACAGACTGGTTATGTAATGAAACTGAAGTCCCAGAATTTGTTGGCAGTTGGGACAATAAAAAGCATCCCTTTTGGGCCTAGAGACACCCTTTTCTTTCCTTTCTTCTGTGTACTTTCAGGCTTTGATCGCCCATTGTTTTCCTTATCTTTATGCTTTAGTATGTATGCTGACACCACATCACCAACTTGCAGTGGTGGGAGCGGGTCTTCTTTCTTGAAGTACAGATTACATTTCCAGTTGGCTGCTTCAAAATCCACTTAGCTAGTGGAATTGACAAGTGGACAAAGCCATGCAGCCTGTATTTTGAAATTCCTTTATCTTCAGTTCCAAAAGCAAATCCATCAGGCTTATTTTTTGTCTCTAATTAAGGCTTGCTTTTTACACATTTAATGCAACCTTCTCCGGCCAGGCCTGACCTTAGATGGTGTTGCCTCCTTAATAGAACAAACTTCCATCCTGGTAGCCTGGGCCGGAAGTCTGTGAATTGGGAGGTCTTGCCTTGGAGCTGGTCGCCATTCTCAGTATGCTTCTGGGAGAGCAGATTTACGTCGCGTGGCTCTGTGCGTGAAGGGCAGCATCAGTTCCTAGGGTCCTGCACTCTGGGAGACTCCAACAGTTCTGCTCCGGCGGGACAGGCAGAGCCGGTGGATGAAGTGAAACGAGAAGGCGAAGCCACCGGTGTCCACAGCCAAAGCTATTTTCTAGGAGTTATTTGGGAAATCGCTGGAGACCTCACTTTAAATTTCTTGTCTGTTTCCCAAAGGCTGAAAACGATCTTGTTCCAAGCTACTTTAAAGACCTGGAGAGCAGGCCACACACAAGGATAGGGCCTTGGGTTCCATGGTGATGGACCTGCCACACGTGATGACACTTGTCCCCAGCTCGCCGGCAAAGACTGCAGTGACTTAACACCGGGGCGCAGGGACAAGTCAAAAGCACCAAGGGAACGGGCGAGCCCACAGTGTGGACGCCGGCCTGAGCCTTCCAAAGCAGACCCAAGACCGCCCGCCCCAGTAGCGCGCTGCCGCGGTCCTAGCCTCTGAATTCCCAGCGGGCCTTCGCAGTCCACTTGCATTACATAGCCGCCGCTCAGTGGAACTCCACAGCCCCAGCAAATCCACAGGTGCCTCCCCTGCCCATGGCCGTGCGGACTTCTCTCTCCACAGGGGGCAAGGTGCAAATGCAAGGTGAAAAGTGGACTCAGCTCTTCACCAGTCCGGTCTTCTGTCTGTGTCACCTCTCCTGACACACTTTCAATGCCAGCACATTTCAGTGGACTGGAAGAGTCTCACTGTGGAGCTCAAAACCAGAGGGCAAGCACAAAGCAACGCAGATTACTTTTGAAGCCGCACGTACTCAGAGAAGAGAGGTTTATCCTATCTTTGCAGATTTTGTGGTTGCAGTTTCACTTTTCGTTAGTATTCGGGTTTCTTTCTAATTTTATTGTCAGGTGATGTACAGAAGGGTTACTGTTACATATTTAAGGCAGTGAGGACATTTCTAGTTGAGCATTGTCACCTCCTCCCTTGTTTTTCGCCCACTGTCCCTCCCCCGCCATGTTGCAAAGTTCATTTCCAACCCATTTTCTTGTATCGCTGTTGCATTGGTTTTGAGTAACCAAAACGAAAAGCAGAATAGTCCCCAAATACCCATTCGCTTAGATCTTAGAAGAAAATGTGTATCTGACAAGGAAAGATCCTTGGAAGAGATGGTGCAGAGACCAGTTTTCAGTGGAAGAGACAGTGTGGGGATAATTCTGGAACACTGATAGCAAAGCCCTCCTGCAGTGTGGAGGCGCAGCTGTGGGGGGCTGCTTCCTGCTAGCTTAGGCCAAGGGCCTTGGCATGAATTATTCAGTTACTCTGAACATCGCTGTTTAAAGCAGCAAGCATATATATTATCTTACAGTTTTTGTGGCTCAGCAACTTGGTGGATTCTGGTAGTCCTGTTGGTGCTGAGTTGGGCTTGTTCAGGCCAAGTTGCTGGTCTGGGTTGCAATCTCTGAGTTTCCATAGCCAGAAGTTCCTCTTCTGAGCTTGTTCCTGTGGCTATTAGGAATCTTCCTTTCCTTACCTTGTGTGCCATCTCCAGCGGGCTGTATATGACAGAGCTCTCCCTCCCCCGCCCCCCGACAAACAGGGAGAGAGAGGGGAGGGAGGAGAAGAAAGAAGCAGAGGCAGAGGGAGATGGGGAGGGTGGAGACGGGGAATGGCGGAGTGCGGCGGTGGCATGCTGGACCGAAAGCATTTGTCTTCCCTACCCTGCTCCCTTTTCACACACTGCCTACGATGGGGAGAGTTTTGTGGATGACGTAAGCAGTGACGTTAGCCTGCCATCTTGCTCTGTGCTTGGGCACCCAACATTGCAAGGATGGCTGGCAGTGCGTATGTAGGGGTTCCTCTGCAGACAGTGCCGACCTGCTTTGTTCCCCGGGAGGAGCGGAGCGTTCTGGTCTTAGCCTGTCTGGCCCACTTCCATCGCTCTCTTTTGTTTGGCTAGAGCCCTGGGAATCGAAAAGGGGCATTTTGGGGACATGGTGCTTGATGCCAGGACCCTGAAGTTCTCAGGGATGGTACAACCGTGGTGGGCATGCTGGCTGAGACGGCACTCCAACTTGAGGCATTCATCTCAGGAGACAAAGGCCAAATGCATTCCTTACCAGCTCTACGTCACTGAAGCAGTAATTCTCCCTTCCGGTCCTCGGATTTCCCACCTTTAAAATGAGGAGATTGGCCTAGGAAGCTAATGGCACCTGGGCAATGAGTGAAACTGAACCGATCCTTTG